TAATTTGAAATGCTACACCTCATAAAAAACAGTTTTTTATAAAAAATTTCTTAAACAACTTTATTCTTCATATTCATATGTTAGGCTGGAGAGAATTATTTACATTAAAAATTATTATATGTTTGTATATGAGTTTATTTACATAAAATCAACTGCATATCTATATATTTATGGTAGGTTTTTTTATACAGTTTTGTCAATTAAAAGTCTATCAAAAATGTTTGGCTGGGAAAATATACAAATATTACAGAATAATATAATATAGTAGAATATACAAAATAAGAGTTTTCACTATAAACTGTATTGTTTATTATTATAATTTATTATTAAATTTGATTAGTTTTGAGTAAACACAATTATGTGGTGTTGATCTAAATATTTGTATATAAAAAATTTTAATGCTAAGAATACATATTCAACTTTTGTACAAATTCGAAAACCAAAAAAATTTAAATATCTATAAAAAGTAGTATGACTTTTTATAGCACAGAGGAGAACCCCCTCAGTGCGTTTATGAACCTTGACGGGTTTTTTTTTTAAATCAAACTGGGCTATTCTTGCAACAATTGTCCTTCAATTTGTTACAAAGTAAGGTTGTAAGCATTTCAGTGTTCTTAGCAATTGCCTGAAAGCGGAAAGGGTGTTCAGATGAGAGCCCTACAAAAAAAAATACTATGGGCGTTATCAGAAACATTTCACTCAAGTCACATTTTATTTCTACATATATTTGCAATTAATATAGATTAACATTTAAATTATTTAAAATAATTGAGTGGACTTTAAAAAATGAATACATACAGTTTATAAATACAATTTTTGTATTTTTGATTTTTGTTTACAGATAAGCAAATAACAAAAAAATTAAAATATATTTTTAAATAAATTCTTCAGATATTTAAATCTATTATTTACGATTAATACAAAAACGGAACTACTTATGAACCACATACAAGTGGTTGTGGTTACTTTTAAATAAAATTTATTTTTAGTAGAAGAATTTTTGTTTACATTTCCACCAACACAATATTTAGATTTATGGAAAAGCAAGTCATAGAAATCATATCTTTTAGATGCATTAACCTTGAAATGTTCTCTTCTAAAAATGAAACAAACAATTTTGTATGTGACGACAAATTTCAAGGGTTCGCATATACACTGATCCACAAATTATACTGGAACCAAAATAAAACTGGCATGAAAACACACTTTCGAGCACTCGAATTAAAAACGAAAAGAAATTGAAAATGTCATATATAATCTGAAATATTTGTCATTTTTCTAGATTTTCGTGCTCAAAGAACCTTGATAAATAATTGTATGTGCAATACCATTAAGTGTATTCTAGAATAAAAAATGTATACATATAATAGAAATTCTTGGGTAATACATTCTAAAAACTATATATCTATTATAAACATTTGTTGCTGTTAGATTCGCTGTAAGATTTCGAATAAATAACAGATAACCAAGGAAAAAGAGTCGAAGTAGTAGAGATGTTAGGGAAGAATCATGTTGATTGATTGGCACTTATGGATAGCATAAAAATAAGATTTTGTTCATAATATGTATATATATTCAATATACAGAGATATAATTTTACTCTCCATTCAATATATGCAATATATAGGGATATAATTGTACTCTCCATTTAATATATTCAATATATAGGGATATAATTGTACTCCCCATTTTATATATAGGGATATAATTGTACTCTCCATTCAATATATTCAATATATAGGGATATAATTGTACTCCCCATTTTATATATAGGGATATAATTGTACTCTCCATTCAATATATTCCATATATAGATATATAATTGTACTCTCCATTTATTCCATATTAATTAATTTAAGAAGGTTTTGAATACCAAATAGTATATTTTTATTATATAAATATATATTCTTATATATTTATAAATTTATCCATAAGTATTAATAAGACATTATTACATATTCAATATTTGACCTCAATTTAGAGAGAAAGTTATCAGTTTGCATTTCTGTAAACTACATGCATTTTTACAAAAATCTACACTTTTAGTAGTGCAAAAGTTTATGTCAATCTTCATTCTCCAAATAGCCAGACAAGTATGGTCAGATGCTTTCGCAGACGATTTACATGTTTTTATACACATAACAATTTATCTTACTAAACACAGGTGCTAATGTTGGATCGTGGTTGAATGTGTCTAGCGTTACGTGACAACTTGCTTGTGAGATAATTCTGTAGACTTACGACTGAGAACATTTAATAATAGATATATTGGATTTGAATTTAGATGCTATAGGCATTTTTTCCAATTACATATAATAATAAGTTAATGCGAAGAAAAGATAATATATAATAATATGTGCTTAACACTCGTAATTTCTAACTATACAAGGGAAAATCTTGTTATTAGTGGATCGTGCCGATTTTTAGAATAGCTAAACTCCTAATCTAAAAATTAAATAGTTTTAAGGAATTTTGAGAGATACGAAACGTAAAATAAAATCTTTAAATTAGTGACAGGCATTATTTAAAAATATCAACATTATCTTCATAAGGAATTTCGATTTCCAGAACAAACTTTTGCATCTGAAAAAATGTTTTTCTGTGCCAACAAATTTGAACAAAATGGTAAATAGAAAATACCAGTGTCAACTAGTTCCGAAGAAGGAAAAACATGTACATAGGTAAGAATTGAGAAATACATATTTTATAATAATTAATAATGTGAACAGAACTCATTGGAAAAACCTCTGCTCTTCTTAAAGTGTTATACATCGATAATAAATGTATGGACATGTGTATATCGTATACAGCAGTTCAAACCAGATTTCTAATTTTATGATCTTTTGTATATAAGAATGAACATTATTGAAATAATATAATTAAGAATAATACACGAAACATCATTGAAAATAAAAATCAATAAATAATCTTTCTTTAGCATCTGTTTTCATGAAGATAAATTCTTAAAATTTCCTTAATCGATTTCCCGATTACACTTAGGAAGGCTCGATATTAACATATATTACAAAAAATAATTGTATTCCATCCATTCATATATAGACTGTTTCGTACATAACTCCGATAAACTCCCGAGTTGGAAAAAAATTATTATGGGAAAAAGGGATTTTTTTTTCAATATTTATTAAAATAAAGTATGTTAAAAAAAACACTTTCCAAACTTTAACCAAAAATTTATCATTTATCTCAAATATGATGGTTCGTTCATATATATCCGTATTTTTAGGAACCCAAAACGTACGTGGTTCTTGAAACCTTGACGGGCCAAAGTCGATTATTTCTGTGGAAAACTTTATTTATGTCCAAATTTTTGGAAAATTTTTTTTATTTTCTGTATATTAAAAAATTTATATATTACGAAAAAGATTTGCGCAGGAAATTTCTGCTTATCACGCTTTCTTTTTCTGTAATGGCCAATTTTTCCTTTACAAATCACTCCATCTGTCCATCATACATGCATAAACATTGACAATAACAAGCAATAGGAGACCTTCAAAAGTTTCCTATAAAAGATCTTCAGAAGTTTCCTATAGACATCTTCCTATAGGAGATTTTCAGAAGTTTCCTATAGGAGATCTTTAGAAGTTTGCTATAGAGATCTTCCTACAGGAGATCTTCAGAAGTTTCCTATAGGAGTTACTTTGAAGTTTCCTATAGAGATCTTCCTAAAGGAGATTTTCAAAAGTTTCCTATAGGAGATCTTCGACCCTATCTGCCGAAAAAAATGGCATTGATATATTGTGTCAAATAAAATCTAGTCGTTATGATGACTGAAACATATCTTCATAATTAGAGATGATAATCCGGCCATAAAAGCTTTTGATTCGATATAAACGAAATCCTTTAAGGTGAAAATATACATTTTTGAAATTCTTGTTACAGATTGAAGTGGAATGTGTAAAGTAAAACTAACGGGTGGAAGATATTAACTGTGGCTTGCATTGATATTTGAGTAAGTGATTAAATAATTTATAATTATTTATGCGTATAATTTACGCCTGCATATTACAAACTATTGTCAATTTCTATTACTATTGAAATTTTAATAATTACTTGAATTCAGAAAGTCTCTAAAGTTAAGACATAATAATAAAATAATAAAATAGTTAACTAATATTGGAAAGACGATATATGGGTTTAAATATACATTGTACAACATTAAATTATTCTGTATTTGAATTTGAAGAAATGTCTTGGATTATTTTCGATTAGAATTTAAATCATCTTTGTGACATTTTGTCTCATAATAAATGATATAAAGCAAAAAATAGCACACGTGCACGCTATAAAATCATGTCTTATTAACAGAAAGAAATGTTTTAATAAAAATAAATCTGTAATATTCTTTACGGCCTTACATAAACTCCTTCTAAATTAATTTCTCTTTCCTTGTTTCCTTATAAATAATATAAGCACTGTACTGTAAATCAAAAAAGGAATAATTTATTGTAAATTGACATTTACCTGCAAAAGCAGGTGACAGTCTCCTCAACGTCAAGGGGTAATGATAATTGCGCTGCAGCTGGTCCAGTAGAACTGCGAGGTACGGCACGTCCAGGAACATTACGAGATGAATGTAGAAAGGAAATAGCAAAAGATGAATGTGGAGTATCCTTTGTGGAAGTAGGAGTTTGTGGTGCAGATTCAGCATCCGCACTAGCCAAAGGAACTGCAGCGTAGCGCACAAGAATAGCACGACTGACACGATTACTACCGGTCAAATTCGAAATAGCCCAATTCATTATGTAAACGAGTAACTTTTTATAGGAACCAAAAGTTATAGTAGCATTAATACTACCAATAGTAAGTAGTAAATAGTAGCGAAAATGCAACCGGAAGCACACGTTAATGTTGCAGCAACATTAAATACCAAAATGCAACTGAAACCTAATAACAAAACTGAACGCAACGCACTGCAGCACAGTGGAAACAGTAAACCGCGATTTAATTGGCAGCTTGGTTATTTGTGCGTCCAAATGTCGATGTATTCCTTTAAAGGCGCCGATGGTGTTAGAGGTAGTCGTCAATGGAACTAATAAATATATGCGAAGGTGGTTGGTTACATGTCAACTACAAACAACTAGTGTAAGTGGAAAACGGAACGGGGTGTTGAGTACAAATGACTGCAAAACACGTACATACGTTCTATGTACCACTATCAACCGCAAGTGAAACCTTCAAATATAAATAAAAAACAATAATACTAAAAATAAATTAAAATTGATTTATTTCCATTTAAAAACGTTGAGATGCTTTGTTCAGGGCTTCGTTGTGCTGCTAAAGAGACTTAATGAAAGTGATTTGTGATGTCAATTTGTGATGAGTGCAAACAATAGACGGCGTCAGCGCTGGAGACGTACAAAATGTACAACACAAGCGCGCTTCTTGATAATTTAATTAAATTTTGTCTAATTTTTCTTCAAGGTTTTTTCATTTGATTTTATTTGCTTCCCATTGCTACTTTACTGTATTGCAAGCAAACAACTCATCCGCCACCTGCGGCCGGCCCTATGCAGTACAAGCAGATATAATAGAGCTTAACAGGCAGTGCTGATACCAGAAGTGCTCGCTGCTGGGTTGCTGGGTTGTGTTTAGTGTTTAGTGTTGTTAGAAATCAATAATTCACAACTTTGCAGACCAAGTGACGGAAGGCGGCAGTGCTAGCAGTACATGGCTACCACTGCAGGGACACGTGACATACATCAACATTTCGCATTCCATATGATTTTCCATTTATTTTTTATATTTTTCTACTTTGCTCTGCAAAGCGAAATGTACGCTTTTCAATTATGAAAGATATATGTACTCAATTCGAACCGAACCGATTCGACTTGACTTGACTCAATTCGTTTGTAGTTGTTATGTAAATCTTTAAAACATTATTTTTCCATTTCCATTTGTCTTCATTTTGCAATATGGGAAATATGTTTATTATTTGAAGAGTACGTTATGCAAATTTAATATTACCAAATGCAATTATAATTATTTTTGAGGATATGATAAGCTCGTTCATATATTATATAATTGAATTTTAGATTTGAAACACCACATTACTTTATATGGGTGAAATGGGTGAAAAATTCAACAATTACTTAGTACAATTCTTTAAGTGACTTGACTTTAAGTGACTTAATATACTGCCATATATAACTTTTCATTCTTCTTATAGAAAATATATAATATCAGAGATGTTGACTAAGTACACGAAAAAGCTTGAAATCTATTTTTCGTACCCCTAAAAGTGAAAATCTAAATGCAATTCGCGTTTCAAATGAGATGAACATACTATATATGTATATATATAATTTCAACAATAAGGAATAGTGAATTATTATTTCAGTAGTAAATTATTATTGTTTTTGTTATATTGTTTGTTTGTAATATTTCATTAAGAAACCCAAAAACAATTATCACGAAATAGTAAAAAACTAAATTAAAAAGTGACTGAATTGAGTGAAAAGATTTGGAAACTAGTTCCAAGTATTATTTTACAAATAAATTAAGCAAACAGATTTCTTCAGTCATTAGTGAAAAGAATAGTAGTATATGTATATATAGATAACATAACAATAAAATAAATCTGTTATTTAATAAAGTAGTTCATTACAAAGTTGTATATACCATGACAAAATTTTTATTTCAAATAGAAAACGTGATTATAGTAAGGATATGATTATAGTGATTATAGTAAGATCTGGAAACTAGTTCCAAGTATTATTTTACAAATAAATTAAGCAAACAGATTTCTTCAGTCATTAGTGAAAAGAATAGTAGTATATGTATATATAGATAACATAACAATAAAATAAATCTGTTATTTAATAAAGTACTTCATTACAAAGTTGTATATACCATGACAAAATTTTTATTTCAAATAGAAAACGTGATTATAGTAAGGATATGATTATAGTGATTATAGTAAGATCTGGAAACTAGTTCCAAGTATTATTTTACAAATAAATTAAGCAAACAGATTTCTTCAGTCATTAGTGAAAAGAATAGTAGTATATGTATATATAGATAACATAACAATAAAATAAATCTGTTATTTAATAAAGTACTTCATTACAAAGTTGTATATACCATGACAAAATTTTTATTTCAAATAGAAAACGTGATTATAGTAAGCATATTTACAAATCCATAAATTTTATTTCAGAGTCCATTATAAAGTACATATAATCTATATAGTAAAATTATTACATTATCAAAAAAAAACAATTTCTTTAAATATTCAGGTTTTATCCGAGAGGGAGAGAGAGAGAGAGAGAGAGAGAGGAAGAGTGAGAGAGGAAGAGAGAGAGAAAGAGAGAGAGAGAGGAAGAGAGAGAGAGGAAGAGAGAGAGAAGAAGAGAGAGAGAGGAAGAGAGAGAGAAGAAGAGAGGAAGACAGTGAGGAAGATAGAGAGGAAGAGGGAGAGGAAGAGGGAGAGGAAGAGAGAGAGTAAGCTATCTGCTGTTGTGGAATATAATACTGACCATCGACTAAAAATTAATTAACGGACTATAATAATATTATGCAATACTTCCTTCGCAATTATGGTAAGGATTATTGTAAGGATATTTTCAAATTGAAAAATTTTATATTTTAAAATCTACATAGTAAGATCATTATATCACAATAAAATACAAAAAAATCAGTTTCTTTATATATTCAGGTTTTATCAATAAGTTAACTTCTGTTGTAGAATATAATACTGGTCATAGAATAATAATGAATCAAGACAATGATGTAATCCAATCGCTCCTTCACAATAATCAGTTTCAATCGTCTATAACATTTGCTATAAAAACTCTTTCAATTGAACCCATAACTATATAGAATTACTGAAATATTGAGAATGAATGTTTTTTTAACAACAGACTATAGAGTAATCTTTTTTCCAGAGTCGATATCCCAAAATCATTCGTATTTTCAGACAACCATATAGTCGTTGAACTCTCCTAACAAAGACTGTGTTACAACAACAATAATCACAATAAATTACAAATAATTTTGCTAATTCATAAAAATGTTTGTTAATGAGAATACATACTTTGAAAAAGCCTTTAGGCCTTATAATATTTCCTTGTTAAGGCAAAGCTATAATGAAACCCAGTATAGTATAGTACAAAATTTAAGGCAGTACATAGTTTCAATTTTAGTTTTACCGATCGATATGAATAAAATTGTTTCATAACTTAAATGCAAAATATAAGCTATATGTACAAAATATGTAAAAGACAATGAAATACTAGCAGATATTTTAAGAAGTTGTAATTATTCAATCTATAGTTCCCTTTCACCAAAAGTTAAATATGAAACAAGTGAGAAAGAGGGACAGATTTTTGTTATGAACACTATAAATTTGTCACATACAGTCCCTTTTGCAGGAATATGGATTATTCATATATAAATTTAAAGAGATATTGAAACCTTTTTTGATTTTTGTTTGTTTGTTAACACAGACTTATGCATATGATGTTTTGAAGACATGCACTATAATAATTTTATTTAATCATTATCTATATTATATTACTTCTATTCGATAACCTTTTATAGGTTATCAAATCTAAACTCACGTGTTGACATTCAACCCTAAAACAACAGTAAATGTCTTTATTATTTTTATAATTAAAATGAAAAATTACAATACATTATACGAGTACAAAATAATCAAATATAATTTTTTGAAAAATTTTTTAATACAAAGAATTTAAATTTTGAATTTTCGCTGAGAGACTAACAATATTTAAATCTTAAAACCACCTTAAAAACTGAGAAAACACAAATTTTTGCATTCATACCTGTATAAAATAAGTATATAAGCCCCCTTAAATAGGTAAGATTATCACGTGCAATTTTAAGATATCGTGTAAAATTTGTACATTTGTGCAATCCATGATTCTGGTTTTGTAAAACTTATTACATTTATGCCCTTTGTGGATTAAATATTTCATTTAACATGGTATCTTCATTTGAGACGTACTATGTTTCAATATTTCTAGGCTGATTATTATTTTTAAGTATAAATTTGTATGTATACTGCAGATTATATTCATGGAAACAAAAATAGTTTTGTTTTTAATCTAAATACTCCTTAATACTTTATCTCTTTAGTAATGAATTATGAAACCAGACAACTATTATTAGCATAAAAATAAAAGAAACTTGAAAAATATTCACTCAATTATCTCTAATAAATTTCCGGATCACAGAAGGAAAGTCTATGCATGGGGAAGCGTTTAGGTAGAAAAACATTAAACAACTTTTATTTATTCGAGAAGCTTACAGGTTAAAATCCTTATAATTTTCAAATTTATTTTGTTAAAAGGTGGAGTGGGTCCTTTTATCTGGATAAAATATAATATCTCATTGAAGATAAATTTTGGAAATCATACTCAGTCTATTATGGTTAATTCATTTTTTTAATAGAATTTTTGACGCTAAAATTAAATCTCTTAAAATCGGTTAAATATATTCAGCAAAGCCTTAAACACTACTATTCGCCAGCTGGAAATTATACAAAGCCAGGCTCTGAGAAAACTTTTGAAGGTATCATGGTACATTAGGACAAATGACATTCTCAGGGATCTCAAGATTGATCCGATCAAAAAATACCTAGAGGATAGAGCCCTGAAACTATTTACGCAATAGTACCAACATCGCGTTATCGAATCTCAGAGTGGTAACAGGTTCCACGGGGAGGTATGCAGATCTGAAGTCAGTTATTGCTTACTCTGATGAAGTGATAAACAATAATCCAATCAAGGCGTAGAGAGGTGTTACGAAGAAACCTCGCAGTTAGTAGAGAGTAAGTGCACTGACTCCACTACCCTCAACATAGATTAGATAATCTTGTTACTATAAAATTTGTTATAATAATAAATAATAATTTTGATTTAAAATTAAAAATCTTGATAGTAAAAAATTTTTATTTGTATATTAAGTTTAGCATTAATTCAAAAATTTTAACATTTTTAGTACATCTCTTTGGAACTATAAGTAAAATTTTTTTTATATCCTTCAA